CACATCTTAGTAAAACCAATACCTTCTCAGCTTCGCATCGAAGCTAAAATTAATGTCGATCTCTCAATAAAATATACTCTCACAAAAGTAACTGTTTAACGCGTAGTGTACAGCGTGTGAATTCAGAATTAACATTGGATTGCTTGAAATAATCGTTACATTTTGAACGAACCCTGTGAGTAGGTAAAGGGTTAGATTTTCAAAAAATTATATCAAATGAAAGTGAAATATCTATAGTTTCAGTGTAAATAAGAATTATTTTGATTTGTTCATTTTTCAATTAGTTATATCAATTTTGAGAAGAGAAAAAATGAAAAAAATGTTGAAATTTACAGATTTTAAAAACTAAATTTTTTGAAGGATTTTCACCATTTACGGGAAACGAGCAAATGTGCAAAACGTAAACATATATTTAGTCATTCGTCAAAGAATAAATTAAGTAAAAGATTTAGCGGATAAAGTGTCGTGCAACTCTATATTAAATAATATGATACAGATACAACTATTGAAAAAACTTGAGAATCAATAGACTCAGTAAATAATTGTAAATTATTAATTAGTAAAGGAGAGTAACAACCCAAGAGATCAGATTGGACGAAGTCATAAATTTATATATCTAAATCAATACAAGTAAGTGCTTTGATGATAATTAACCAACAAAGTTAGTTAAACTGTTATTTTACCCAACGCTGCTAGTGTCCATGGTAACGTTATTGAGTTAAAATGTATTTATTTAATTTCCATTTCTATAATTTACTTTGTACAGGGAATTATAGTGACGGCCCAGCATTTCAAGGAACGCGATTTGGCTGGATTGTGTCTGGTTATGTTTCAGATTGTGAACAACTAGAAGGCGCGTCGTTTGCGTTTCCCACGCGGACTAGGACAATTCGCCGACACAGATTCGCCGCCGGACACTTGATGTATAAATTTATTATTAGCCCCTTTTCGAAAAATTACAATTATTTTAGCCAAATCCTTCGCTGCACAAGTCTTTAAAATCCAGTTTAATGATAAAAAACGAATTATTTTTATAATGTTTCAAATTATTTAAATATTATATATTTTCCCTAAACTTTGATCTTTATGTGCGCCTTGATAACCAAGTTGTACAAAGGACAATTTTTTCAAATAAATTATCGTAAAAGAACAAATTTTCTTGCTGCGCTCCTCAAGTTTCGAACAAAATTTTTTTTTATACAGACACAACGGGCATCTTAATATCTATACTGTAAAATCAATATGATATTATTTTTAAAATACTATACAGCTGAGTTGTTACGTTTTATTCACTATTTGTTTAAAACACCAAAAATATCAAAATTTACATGGTTCTCAAAGGGTCGATTTAAACTGTTTATATTTTATACAAATTTTGTTTAAAACATGTTTTTCCACAACCCTGCTATACAATCCCTGAAGATAACAACTACACTAATTGCATGTCCACCATCCGATTGTAGTTCAGGTAATAAAAGTATTAATTTTTAGCCGTTCCATAGCTTATCTAGAAAATCGTTTGATTAAAGTACGTTGTGTAATGTTAGATCTGCGATTATTAACTAATATAAATGACTTATATTTTCCCTAGAAAAATGGAGTATAATGATGTTATTTTTAAATCGATAAAAAAATTACTGCGATATATTATTTATAGAATATCTAAAACATTATCGTAACATAACATTTAGTTAGCAAACTTAAATTAATCAGTGGATATAAATAATAAAAAGGTGTCTAAATCATATAATAAAATTCGATAGATGAATTAATATTTAAAAAAACACGATAGCACAGTGAGGTCGTGGAACAATGTGGACGTGCCAAGTTTGGGACAAGCATTTCAATGAAAATATGTAGATATTATTTAGTTTTAAGACGTTGGTGGATTAAACCAAAAACAATGTGAAATCCCATTTCCTTTATTATTCCTGATTAGTAGTTTTTCGATTTAGAAGTACATTATACGTAAATAAATATTTATTATAGCAATTAAATATAATATGAGATTGATATTTAATAATTTAGTATTGTAATTTTTTTGGAGAATGTATAAAATATTTTAAAGTAGATATTACTTTTATGGCAAACCTGTATAAAAATTGAAGGACTTGACACAAAACATTTTAGATAATAATTTTTTGTTAATTATGAATAAATGGCTGCAAAAAATGTTCATCAAAGTCAATAATATAATTTTATTACTTAACGTTTCTTGCTAATTTCAAATCAGCAATTATATTTTTTCTATCGCTAATAATTTTTGATATTGTTACTAATTAGTTAAAAATTTTAGGATTTAACTATTACAGTTTTGAATGTTTCAATTGTAACATCAGAGAGCGTTCGTGGTAATTTGAGCAAAGTACAACTATAACGATAGTACCACAATAATCGCTGTACGCCGACACTATAAATATTGCGCACTGTTTTTTACACTTAACTATATTTGTTTCACAATACTTATGACGATATCTAATGCACTTATACGAACTTTAAATTAAAATACGTTAAAAATATATATAATAATATTATTTTATTCCGCGTATAGCAATCGCTGCTGCTACGCACTTTCGTTACGCAAAATTTCGCACTTTCACGTTTCCGATATTCACTAGACGTTCCGGGCGAAGGACCATATGTTTCGGCGTGATCTCTTACGACTAAAAGATCTTCGATAAATTAAATGAAAACGTAAAAGACGAAAAAATAGATATGCGTTTATTATATGTACGCGAGCGGTGCGCTTTACAAAGGTAGACTAACTGATTTTAAAACCGGACAACTATGCAGCCGCCGAACAATTATAAGATAAAACAACAATAGCTACACTTATTGTGTAGGCCTAAACAAATATAATTAACGTAAAACATTATTCTGTCCATACAACTTTGATAATGGCAATCGAAGAATATCAATTAAAATTTCTGAGAAATTAACATTTATGAAAAAAATCAC